CTTGCCGGTGTCACACAGCTGGTAAGTGGCAGACCAAGATTTGAACACAGGTTGCCTGACATCAGTTCCCTTTTCACTGTGCCCACAGCTACCTTCCAACAGATGCCTTCTCCCAAAGTCCCCAGGACAAGTCTTGTTTTCTACCCCTTGCATTTGATGGCAATTCAAGTTACCTAGATAGAGAGTGAAGAGAGAAATTGCTTGCTTTAAGAATAGAGTGTTTTTAGAAAATTCTAGGTTCTCAGCTCTGTTGAGGTGGGTGGGCAGGCAGTTGTCCCCCCTTTGGACCAAGTCGTACAGAGTGGCAGCATAACTACAAGGATCAGGCCTGGGAATAAACGAGGTGATCAACAGAATAGATTTCCCTTCCTCAAGAGAAATGCAAAGCTGGTAAGAAAGAAGCCCAGAGGACTACTACTGCTACTGCTACCCACCCTCCCTACCCCAATCAAAAAGAGTTCTTCCAACATACTGTTCTGCTCTTATCCTTTGAAAGATATTATGTGTTGTTCATTGAAAGGTGTACGCTCCTTGAAAAGTACAATGTTCCATATAAATGCAGGGCGGTGGTGTCGTTATTGTTATCATGATTATTTCTGCAGGGGAAGGAGAGGAGGGGTGGGGGGTGTGTGGAGGTTCCTTCCCCAGCTTTGTCCCTCCTGCCGTGTCTGCTAACTGATCGGCAGGATGCCTTTGCTAGGTGTCGATAGAAGAGTCAGACCAGAAGTATTGTGCGAGGACATCACGAATAACGCAGGCAGAATGATTCAAAAAGAAATCAATGGTCCTAAAAATAGCAAAGAGATGTTCCCAGAATAACATCCTAATGGGAAAAAAGGGACTGAATGATGAGTTGTATTGTAAAAAGTCAAGTGTTTTTAAAAATATCTGTGTAGAAAGATGAGTGATCAGTTTATACAAGGGAGATGAAAGGGCTGGTGATATTCAGGCTGAAAGCCCCCTGGACTCTGGCCCTTGGCAGGGCCCACGGATGGAGGACTCACCTCTCTCCTGTTAGCTGCCACGTCTTTCTTGTATGTGAGAGGAAAGCACTTCTGATGAGACAATATTCTGGTAATAAAAGTCACCCAGGAAATAAAGAGCATGCAACCATGATAAAGCATTCACACATGTTGTTTAGTCCCTCAGTCATATCTGACTCTCTTGCAGCCCCATGGACTGTAGGCTGCCCAGCTTTTCTGCCCATGGGATTTCCTAGGCAAGCATACTGGAGTGGGTTGGCATTTCCTTCTTCAGCAGATCTTCCCGACCCAGGAATCAAACCTGCATCTCCTGCATTGGCAGGCGGATTCGTTACCACTGAGCCACCAGGGAAGCCCATACGTGCACGTATACACGTGTGTGCACACACACCTGCTCTTGTTTTGATTGTTGAGTTCCTTGTGTTATGCTACATTGTCCTGTATTGATTTGCGTGGGTTTGGTCAAATTTGAGTGAGTTGTGCTGAATTCATAGTTGTCCTCAGCGTGGGTGTAAAAAGCACGTAGATATTTCCAATTTCAACCAGAGGGGGTGAGGGAGTCTGCAGATAAGAACCCCAAAATTCAAAGAAGTACAAGGACTCTTCAGAGCTCTCTCTAGCCTTGCTTTCTTGGATAATGACTCAGAACCTCAGGGAAAATTCTGGTGGTGGACCCCAACAAGGGTGCTCTGGTGAGGCTCTTAGATTCTGCTCTGCCCCTCCCCACCATCACCACCTCCACAGTGATGCTCTGTTGGTTCATTGCGGGATCTGGGGTCAAGCTGGTTAAGGAAGCTATATTTTTATTACTGATCATAATCATTCACAACAGATAAAAGTTTATCTACTGATTGGTCCAAGAGTTGGTTTATCACTTCAGTACTATCATCAGGGGACCAGGCTCTGTGCATTCTTTATTCTGCTGTCTTAAGCTTCTTGGCTTTTGTTCTCAAGCTTATTCCCTCATGGTCACAAGATGGTTGCCACTGATCCTTAACACAAGAACATGTAAGGAAAGATGGGAAAGCGGCAAAAGGGTTTTCTCCGTGTGCTGCTATTTTGTAATGGAGGAAAAATTTCCCCAGAAACCACAGCAGATTTTCCATCATATCTCATAGACAGACTGGAAAGGATAGAAGGTCTTGAGCTCTGGGCTCACACACAGCCTCTTCCACTTACTACTTGTGTGAACCCGAGGAAGTTCTTGGTCTCTAATTCAATAACTATAAAATCATCATGATAATAAGGCCTGTCTCCTGATAAGGTTGTTATCAGAGTTAAAAGAGTTATATATACAGAGGTCTTAAAACAGTGCCTAGTACATAGCAAGTATTCGATACATGTTAGCAATTACTTTTAGTAACCTTATTATCCTCGTCATCATTTCCTTGGTCAAATTTGTTCATATACACAAGTGTCTCAACTCAGAGGCTATGAAATTAGAGTTATCAGCAAGGATTTGCGTCTTTAATGAGTCTTATTAAGAACCAAATATACAGGCAAAGAAACCCTTAAGCATTTGACTTCTAATACCTTAGTTCGTGGAGGAGGGCCTGGCAGCCCATTCAGCCGACTTCAGTATTCTTGCCTGAAGAATCCCGTGGACAGAGGAGCCTGGCGGGCTACAGTCCATAGGGTCGCAAACAGTCAGACATGACTGAAGTGACAGACCACGCATGCACCGTAGTCCATGAACCTGATGCTAAATAATGTTTGTAGGTAGCAGCTCCCTGGGAACCAGGCTAGAAGGGAAGTGATGAGAGAGGCCTCTAGGAGGCATAGGCGCCTGAGGACAGGTATGCTCAGAAGCCTGGCAGTCACACCGGCTAACTTTGCAGTTTTGTTCAGAGTAAAGGAGCATTCAAAGGATACATCATATGACCATGTGACTATCCTTGGCAGAGCTACAGGACGGTACAATTCTCACTTTGACATTGATCCAGAAGATCGTAAGAGGCCAGGGAGACCCAAAGACAAGATTCCCTGGATCCTTATTAACATAAATTTTATTGCACCATCAGGTTGAGTTCCTTAAAAGCAAAGACCATTGGTTTCCCATTCTTCTGCCACCCCCACAGTACCTTAAATAGTACAGACACAGTAGGTTTCAATACGAACCTGTTGCTCAGTGTCCATATTCTCCCAAATAACAGCAGATTCTTGCGTTTCTAACGGGGATAACTGGTGCATTCAAGGCAGCCAGAAAATGTTATCTACCAGGTTGGTGCCCACCTTGATTCCTTGGGAATCAAGGAGGAAGAGGTGATTAAGAAACGCTAATATGCCAGATGCTGTTCCATGTCATCCTTTGGCTGGATGCACAGTCATAGAGCTATGAGGCTTTTCTGTGGCAGGGCCCCAGCATCCAGTTGTGGAGCTGAGAGGCAGATGGTTGGAGAATGCTCCCTAATTCCTGGCTCACCCATGGATGATGTGTTGTTGGACTGATTCCAGAACTGGCCTCCTGATCCTCTGCCTTCCTGATGGTGGCAGAAGCAGCAGTTTCCTGGAGGGTCAGTTCTGTGGTGTTATCCTGGGAGCCATTCCTGGAGCCAGACTAAAACCAGTTTCTGCGGTTCTAGTTTCATAAGGACCCTATGTTAAATACCTTTCTGCTTAAAAGCTAGAAAGGGGCTTTTGCCTCCTGCAGCTTAACTCTGATAAAATTGAATGTATTATTCCTACTGAGGACAATACATGGAAGGGCAGAAGCTTTCCTTGGAACCTGCATGGAATTCATTGGAACAGAATGGCGTTTCGAAGTCAACTGGCAGATTCTCCTTCTGGGACCAAATCAATGAACTTGGGCTAACTAACTTGGGCTACGTTCTCCTACAGAAAATAATGGCATTATCTTATATATTTTACTGTTTGACTGGCACTTCCTGCATACCCACATATAGTCATTACATCCTGGACCTCTGACAGGAGTAAGAAGTAAGCCTGGTATTAATCCCCACGTTCCCAATTAAGACACCAATGTTCAGAGAGTATGATGCCAGGGACCTTGACAGAACTCTCACTAAGGGTCCCTAAATGTCAAGATCTCTCAGTGCCTTCAATTCTATCACTAGAGACTCATTCCTCTTGGATTAAGCACTGATCTCTATGGGATCTTCTTTTAAAATCAAATTCTCTAGGATTGAGGGCCATACCCTGAGTTCCTATTCTGCCACTATAAATGAGTTCATGATTTTATTTCTGAGAAGGACGCAGCCTCATAGAAGCAGTCTTTGCCTACTGGGTTGGGGAGTAGGAGACACCTTTCAGAAGACATTTGCCAGAAAAGAAACCAACCCAACCAGTGGGGGTGCAGAGCAGGTGTAGAGGGGGTATTTGAGAAGATGAAACTTGCAGAGGAGCCAGCCTCCTTTCCTTTGCCAGGAAGCTTGGCAGGCTCGGACCCCTAAAAAACCCTGTGTGGTCTGGGCCTTGCCAGGGCCCCTGGAGCTAAGGGCACAATTACCCAGCTAGGTAAAGAGGTGACGGCCAGGGAGGAGTTACTTTGTCAGCAGTCCACTGGCTGACTTCCCCGCGCTCAGACAAAGATCTCAATAGGAGCAGCCTTGACTGTCTCCAGCAGACCTCACCCTTCCTGCAAGCTGCAAACAAATGGTATTCACAGTCGGACCAACATCCTGCCCCCTACCCTGGTGGCTGACAAAGAGAACTCAGAGGAGACAACCCAGAACCAGCCAGGAGATGCTAACCCAGGAGGATGGAACCGTCGAATGCATCACCAGGTTGAAGCCAGCCGAAACTTCATTTCCCTCATTTATGAATGTTTCCCAAAGGAGGCGCCGGACTCGGGGGTGGCTCATAAAAGGATTTGATAGGAAGATGTGACACCTCATCTTAAATTCCTTCACCGCATTTCTGAAGTTGACGGCAGTGTCGGGAAGCGAGGCAGATAAAGTCCGCTCTCCCCTCCGAGCGGGCTAATCAGACGTGAAGTCTTGGCAAGAGATAACCAGGTTATAGAAGAGCCGAAATGACATCACATCAACTCCATTTCAGATCCTGTACACACCAGTGCCTGTCACAGCTCCAGGTGGCTGGCATCCTCCACTCACAAGAGGTATTTTCAGGCCAGGACGCCCACCCCCGCTTCCCCCGTAGTTGTCACTCTGGGGTATGCCGGGAACACGTTTGTCACTGTGTGTAAAGCCTCACACGTTAAAGGCTGGCCACTCTGGAGGCAAAGTCCATTTTATCCTGCCCTCCTCTCCTGCCCCCCAGCATTTTTAACAGAAAGACCGTACCCTTGCCCTGGGCATCTGAACTGGAGGCCAGGGGCTGGCCATGCTTTCCTGAACCCACCCCCAGAGAATCAGAAGGAGCTTTCCATTGGAAGAGTTGTTCACATTAATAATGAATTCCAAATCATTTCTTCACTTTAGGAGTAAGTGGCTGGTGTATGATCCTTACCACTGGGTTGCAGAGATAATTGATTTCATGTAGTTTAAAGACGAGGAGAAGAATCAATGAGAGCCGATTCGGAGACAATTGTGAATGTGAAATCAGTTTAATTACAGCTCCATCCTTAGCTGACATGGGTTCTTTCCTCTTCGAATTAAAATATCCAAGCAACTTGAAACAGTGATGAATTTTCCTCTTCAGCTTTCTACCTTGTCTCCTGGCTCAGGGCACCGTTACAAGCACACTTCGAGCTTTTTTCAATAGATAGTTAACGCGACATGCAAGAGTCGCCTGTGTGACACAGATAACTCAGGGGAACAGCACAAAGTAAATGAGATGCATTAGTGTCTGGATGGGAACTGAAGATATAAGTTCTCAGAACTTCTTGTTTAATTTATAGCTGTGGATTTCCCTCCTGTGCTTAAGATTTCAAAATAGTAATCATATTCTGAAGAGGAGATGTTCCCTCTCCAGGTACTAATATCAATATGTAAAAGAAAATCATTAACTAGCTCTACCTCTCAGCAGCACCTATTATATGTCAACAAGCTAACCGAGGTGATAAAACAAACTGTTAGTGGAAATTTAATTACTAGCCATTGAGATTTGGGCAAAGGACTGGGGATTCTAGATTCATTTCCCTGGCACTGGAGGCTGCTGGAAGAAACCATCCACCCAGAACGAACATCTTTAATAGATGTTTTCCTTCCCTCTAAAAAAAATCAGAGCGCCAGAAGCCAATCGAAAACTTCCCAAATTTGGTTCTTTGCAGATGGGGAGGAGGATGTGGGGCAGAGGCAGAAAAACAAAAACCAACAGCAAGGAACGTGAAATGATCTGTTTCCATCCATTTGTCTGATCAACTCTGGGGAGGACCGGGGCCTATGAGGTCATTTTGCAAATGATTTCTGGACATTTAATTTTTCAGATTCCTGGCCAATGGCTAACTTTTCAAGCTGGCATAACTCATCTTTTATAATATTGTAAAACAGGGGCCTGTCCTCTGTGAAGCTAGCTAAGCTGGTTTCCCTTCTCCTGACACCCCACCTGTGCCGGTCTAACTGTTCTCAGCCTCACCCCAAAGAACCACTTAACAGTACCTTTTCTGCAGTAACTCCATGCTCCCTCTGCCCATACCCACCACATTCATTCACCCTGGGTGTGAGCCCAGCTATAGTGTCTGTGGAAAATGGTATCCAAAAAAGTTTCAGTGTGTGATGGATGCCAGTATGACTCATGTCACCTGGGAGCTGCTTGCTCCAAGGTTTAGGTGAAAAGGGCTTCAATACACACCAGACCCGCAAGACCCAAGACCTCTCACAAAGTTCATGCAAATTCCTGGGAGGTCTACTCACCTCAAGGCCACTTCAACTTCCCATAGTTTCAACCGTGAAATGAAACTTGGCCACCTTTACAGTTTTTACAAGGAAAGAAGTTATCTATATCAAGTATTTTTGAATTGGTGGACCCTCATGAAATTAGGGGATCATTGTACAGTCTTCTATCCATTTGCCTCTTTGCTCTCTTTTCTGATCCCCCTCAAACCCTCCCTTAAGTTTCTCTCCTTCCCCTTGATTCCACTCCTTCCATTATGCAAAAGAACTGAGCTAGCCTGGGTAGGGGTGGAGTGATTGAGCTTCCCAGGTTGGCTGGAACTGATGGGTTTCCTGGAGAATAGGACTTTCAGTGCTAAACCTGGGACAGCAAACTGGCTGGTTGGTCACTTTAGAGAAAATGGCTGTCCCAGCACAGTCCTGGATGGTGCAAGCTATTGAGGAAATGACACTTTCCCTTCCTTGTTATATTAGTGTCTTTCTTTCTTGTGCTTGGGAAATGACCCCTTTCAGATCACTGGTCTCAATCTTAGTTGCACTGTAGAATCAATCTGCTGAGATTTAAAACATCTCAATATCTAGGCTACATCCCAGAATGTTTGAGTCAGTATCTCTAGAGGGAGGACCCAGGCAGCCAGGCTTTTTAAAGTTCTCCAGATGACTCCACTGTTCAACCAAGATTGACAGCTAGTGCAGGGGTGAAGGAATTTCAAGGAACTCTGAGAATCAAGCACTCTTTGGTTGCATCCATTCAGTAACCCAGGCTCCCCAGGTGGCAGTATTGATAAAGAATCTACCTGCCAATGCAGGAGACGTGGGTTCAATCCTTAGATCAGGAAGATCCCCTGGAGAAGGAAATGGCAACCCACTCCAGAATTCTTGCCAGGAAAATCCTATGGACAGAGGAACTTGGTGGGCTACAGTCCATGGGGTTTCAAAGAGTCAGATGTGACTAAAGTGACTGAGCATGAGCATTCAGCAGCCTAAACTCTCTTAGATGTCTCAAAAGCAGTCTGTGTTTGGGTAAAATGAATGATGTTCAAACATGTTATATTTCTATCTGAATCTACTGACTACAATTTTTCAACCTCATTAAAACAGCTTCACTGTTTTAATGGAGTGCCAAAGGGAGGGCTCTTATCACTCCCTTTCCTCTCCCTCCTTAAATGAAGTCTTAGGTTTGCAACTTTCTTGGCAAGTGGCTAGAACTGATTGACATATCAGGCAATACAAATGCAAATGACATGAAACCCCAAGGCCTGCCACAGGGGATCTTCGTAAAGGGAAGTGATCAATCAGTCAACTCAGTCACTCAGTCATGTCCGACTCTCTGCAACCCCATGGACTGCAGCATGCCAGGCTTCCCTGTCCATCACCAACTCCCAGAACTTACTCATACTCATGTCCATAGAGCTGGTGATGCCATCCAGCCATCTCATCCTCTGTCATCTGCTTCTCCTCGCACCTTCAATCTTTCCCAGCATCAGAGTCTTTTCCAATGAGTCAGTTCTTCACATCAGGTAGCCAAATTATTGGAGTTTCAGCCTCAGCATCAGTCCTTCCAATGAATATTCAGGACTTATTTCCTTTAGGATGGACTGTTTGGATCTCCTTGCAGTCCAAGGGACTCTCAAGAGTCTTCTCCAACACCAAAGCTTAAACACTAAAGCAAGGCACTGAAAAGGCAATTCAAAAGCATCAATTCTTTGGCATTCTGCTTTCTTTTTAGTCCGAATCTCACATCCATACATGACTACTGGAAAAACCACAGTTTTGACGGGACAGACCTTCGTTGACAAAGTGATGTCTCTGCTTTTTAATATGCCGTCTAGGTTGGTCATAGCTTTTCTTCCAGGGAGCAAGCGTCTTTTAATTTCATGGCTGCAGTCAGCATGTGCAGTGATTTTTGGAGCCAAAAAAAAAAACCAATAATAAAGTCTGTCACTGTTTCCATTCTTTCCCCATCTATTTGCCATGAAGTGATGGGACCAGATGCCATGATCTTAGTTNGGAGCTGTTTGCAGACAAAGTTCCAAAGACAGCAGAAAACTTTCGTGCTCTGAGCACTGGGGAGAAAGGATTTGGTTATAAAGGTTCCTGCTTTCACAGAATAATTCCGGGATTTATGTGCCAGGGTGGTGACTTCACACGCCATAATGGTACTGGTGGCAAGTCCATCTATGGTGAGAAATTTGATGATGAGAATTTCATCCTGAAGCATACAGGTCCTGGCATCTTGTCCATGGCAAATGCTGGCCCCAACACAAACGGTTCCCAGTTTTTCATCTGCACTGCCAAGACTGAGTGGTTGGATGGCAAGCATGTCGTCTTCGGCAAGGTGAAAGAGGGCATGAATATTGTGGAAGCCATGGAGCGCTTTGGGTCCAGAAATGGCAAGACCAGCAAGAAGATCACCATTGCTGACTGTGGACAAATCTAATAAATTTGACTTGTGTTTTACTTAACCACCAGACCATTCCTTCTGTAGTCCAGGAGAGCACCCCTTCACCTCCATATGCTCGAAATATCCCATAATCTTTGTGCTCTCACTACAGTTCTTTGGGTTCCATATTTTCCTTATCTCCCTCCAAGTTTAGCTGGATTGCAAAGTTAAATTTATGATTATGAAATAAAAACTAAACAATTAAAAAAAAAAGAAGTCTGTACGCTGCAACTAGAGAGTAACCCCTGCTCACCACAACTAGAGCAAAGCTGGTGTAGCAATGAAGACCCAGCACAACCAAATAACTAAAGAAAGCAGGAAATACTTAATATTCACTAAGTGTCTCAAAAATTTGCAACCCCTTACTGGTGTGGTTATGGGTCTAACACTTCATAACTCTTCACCCTGAGGTCTACAATCATGACTGCCACCACTGCATCCATTTCACAGATGGGCAACTTGAGGCCAGAAGTAAAGAAAAGTTGGTAGCCTGAGAAGGGAGCTCCAGAGGGAAGTTCAAACTTTCCAGGCCAGCCTCCCTGTGCTTCACAAGAGGACTTCCTTTTCCTCAGCCTCCTTTTTCAATCCTGAGAGACTGCAAGGTCCAAAGCATTATTAATTTCCTATTAATTTGCATTTGTTCTTTCTTCAGTATTCTACCTCTTCTTGACATGCATGCAACTTCTTGATATTCAGGTTTCAGCTCAGAGATCACCTGCTCAGAGAGCTCTTTCCAGGCTCAGTTAGCCTTGCTGGTTCCTCTCTACTGAATTGTCGTTACATTTTATTGTCTTCATGGCACATACTACTATCTGAAATTATCATGTTTGTTTGTCTGTGTGTTACCATCTCCTATTAAATGGGAACCTCAATGAGAATAGGACTTTGTCTCATTTGCTGCTGAATCCATTATCCCTAGCACAGTGACCGGCACATAGTAGGTACTCAATAGAAATGTGTGGCATTAATGAACATGTTTGCATTCTCTCCAAGGTAATGATGATGGGATGGCTAGCACAAAAGAATGGAAATATATGTCTCACCTCTTAGAGCAAGGTTAATCAGCTGCCATGCCTGTGCCTCAGCTTCCTTGCCTGTAAGATTGGCAAGCTACTTCCACCAGAGGATCTGAGGAGAGAGAGAAGCTGTGGACCAAACGAGAAAATGGTGATGAAAGTGCTTCAGCGAGTGAAAACACGAGTTAAGTGCGAGATGTTATTATCTTCCGCCATCTGCTTTACTTTAATCTTTTTTTCCCCTCAGTAAGCGGACCTATTGATTGCAGCTTGCTGGAGGAAGCTCTCACTGTCTAATTACTGCCCCGGCTCAGCCTGTCACCGTGTCCTCTGAAGTCAGCATGTCCTGACACTGACCCCTGATACCGTAGCTCTTGGCATATCAGCCTGTCCTGGCACTCTGCACCTGACCCAGAGGAAGCAAGTCCCCACAGCTGGACCTGGGAGGGCTGCCCCAGCGAGGCAGGCAGCTAGGGAGAAGCAGGGGCACGGGTGCTGCTGCAGCCAAAGGCAGAAGGAATGTTATTTTTCCCTGGTGCCAGGGGCGTGCAGCCGGCAGGGATGTGTTCCGCCATGACATGCAGTTGTGAGCATTCCCAAATTCTGGCTTCCAAAAGAATGTGCCCTGCAAATTTTTTTTTTCTGGCCTGGGATATTATTAGTGGGGTTTGGTAGTATGAGAAGAAATCATTTCTAATGCTAGGCAATAATAATTCCTTTCCCTTTAATTATGGAAAGCTTCAAAATATCCAGGGTATCTTCATATACATTACCCTCATGTGACCCTCACAATGTGATGATCATTCCTTTTTTTTTTATAGGGAGGGGATGTGGTCTTTAAAACCGAGGGCTGTGATTTTCCCACGCTAAACAGCCAAGTAAGGGAGAAGGGAATTAGAATCCAGGTTTTCTTCATCTAGACCAACAGCCTAGACCTTCACAGGGCTGGCCCAGGCTGCAGACATAACTCAGGTTATTCAACCTGAATTGAAAACAGTCCTTGAGAGAAATGCCCAGAAGGAATCAGGACTTTAAAAGTACTCTTAAAGAAGCAAATATCTTTTTGACCTGCAGAGGAAATAAGGATGTGCTAGAATTGATAAAGAATCCGCCTGTGCGCCGGAGACCCAGTTCGATTCATGTGTTGGGAAGTTCCCCAGGGAGAAGGGATAGGCTACCTAGTCTAGCATTCTTGGGCTTCCCTGGTGTCTCATAGGGTAAAGAATCCGCCTGCAATGTGGGAGACTTGGATTCAATCCCTGGGTTGGGAAGATCCCCTGGAGGAAGGCAAGGCAACCCACTCCAGTATTCTTGCCTAGAGAATTTCCATGGATAGAAAAGCCTGGCGGGCTACAGTCCATGGGATCACAAAGAGTTGGACACGACTGAGCGACTAAGCACAGCCTAGAAAAGAAATACTGGTACTATGTTGTTTAGAAGAAAGAAAAGGGTCATATAAGCAAACAGCAGAGGATTTTTAAAAAATTTCTAAATCAACTGCATTTTTGTCCTGGGTTCAACACCTCAGGTAAATAATTGAACCAGGTAAACTCTAGGCTACAAAAGTGCCATATAGAAGGTACTTGGCAAATGCTTGTTGAATGACTAGGTGAATATTGACCTGGATTATCAATAGCCTGTGCAAAGCTTTTGTCTCTCATTTTCATGAAAAAGAAATCATTTTTATCAGATACAGAGTCACAAAATGCTCCAATATTGATAAACTGTTTTACTTTTAAGTTTAAAAAATCTTTTTCATACAATATTTCAATTGATCTTCAAACAACTCTAGGAAATAGATGATTTTTTTTAGGTGAGGAGACTGAGGTTTGACAAGATCAATTGTTTGCTCAAGATTGGAAGGATAGTAGGTAGCCATGCCCATTTCTTACAAGACAGTGGACTAAATGCCAATCAATCTTCCCAATAAAAACAACTATAAAATCTGGATAAAATTAAAAGAACACTTTTCAATGTACTGATGAATTGGAAAGAAACTAGGGAATAGTCCTAGATAAAAATTAGGTAAAGTGAAATTGCAGAGAAATAAATGGACCACTGAAGTTGGCTTTGGCCTTGAGGGCATGTGCAGAATCAAGTAAACTTTGATTTAGTTTTCACAACCTTATAGGGCAAGAGGGGAAAGAAGAAAAAACCTAGTGTTTATCTAAATTGGGGGAATGTAGTAGAGATCCCCTATGCATAAAATTGAAATTCCACATCACTGCCCCCTCATCATAAAGGTGACTTAGAAATATCCTAGACTCTGTTCCTACCAAAGAGAGCACAAGAAAAATTATATGTATCCAGCTCTGACTCTAAACAGAGGGGAGGATTTTTCTGAGAATTTATAACCATGTGCCAGCTCTTCCATGAGTTTACACATCAAACACTTACTCCCCAGTGGTCCAAGAAGGCCCCAGTTAAGAAGTCAAGAAAGTGAATCTAAATTAGTAGCAGTTTCAGAGATCTGGGGAATAAGATGCTACCTCTCTGTAGAAACTTTAATTCAAACCTCAAATATTTCCCTTATAGATGAAGTTTCAAAGATATAAACTTATAGTCAACAATTATAAAGCATTCAAAGTACCATGAGCAAGAGCCAGCAAATAGCAGAATTGAACCCACTGAGGCATATTGAAAGGACCAGGTATAATTACAAAATAGTATGTTTAATTACTTTAAAAGTAAAGGCAAGGATTAAAAGTATCATTAGTAGTAAGAGGCTGTAGAAATGCCTGAACAGATTAGAAAAAAATTCAAATAAATCTTTAAGCCATCAGTCAGTCAGTCAGTCAGTTCAGTTGCTCAGTCGTGTTCGACCCCCTCTGACCCCATGAATTGAAGCACGTCAGGCCTCCCTGTCCATCACCAACTCCCAGAGCTTACTCAAACTCATGTCCATNCATCAAGAGAGTTACAAGAGAGGAGAGGAAGAATAGGGCAGAGGCAATATTTGAAAGAATAGGAATTTCCCACAGATTCTAAGCAAAAAAGTCAGGAAGGATAAATAAAAGATTTAATTGTATGGCAGAGTAAGCAAGACTTATACAGATATTTGGGTTAGATATTTGTTCTAGTTTCCTAACACAGCTTTCCCAGGACCAAAGTGGAAGTGACTGAGGTGATTGTGTTCCTATTCCAGTACACTGTATTATACAACACTGAATTGTGTGGGCATACTACACATCAGATAACACCAAGATTGTACATGAGATTAAGCTTGGAAGAAGAAGATATTTTTCCAAAAAGTCTGATTGGATCCTCATTCTCTTAGATATTGCAGTCTACAACAATGTATTTATTCCTTTATGAAAACGGGGGTCCTGAAGCTTATACCACTGTCTCTCTCTGCTGTGTATTCTCATGGTGTTGACTTTCACCTGTATTTTTTAGATAAGCAAACTTCATCTGAATTATCCAGGTCCATGTGTGAAGTTCCTGTCAATCCAAACCTACAAATGATATTTATCAGTATAGTTTGATACATATACCCATGTATGTGGCAATGTGCATACCTGTGCAAATCACAGTGCAATCACAGAACACAAAAGACAAAGAAAACAATCTTAAAAGCAGCCAGAGAGGAAAACAATTATTTTCAAAGGACTGAAAATTGGAGTAGCAGCTGGCCTCCCAACACCAACAATGGAAGCCAGAAGATACTGGAAAAAGATGTCATCAATGTGTTGAAAGAAAATACTTAGTAACCTAAATGTTTACACTTAGAAGAAATACATTTTGAAACATTTTCAGACAAATTGATTTTTCTACCAACAGACCCTCACTGAGGAAAGTTTGAAAATACTGAAAGATAAAATATAACATTTCAATACAATAAAACCCATAACAGTGAGAGGGGACATGGGCAAACCTATGGCTGATTCATGTTGATGTTTGATAGAAACCAGTGCAACACTGTAAAGCAATTACCCTTCAATTCAGTTCAGTTCAGTTCAATTGCTCAGTTGTGTCTGAATCTGCAACCCCATGGATTGCAGCATGCCAGGCTTCATTGTCCATCACCAACTCACAGAGCCTGCTCAAACTCATGTCCATCAAGTCACTGATGCCATCCAACCATCTCATCCTCTGTCATCCCCTTCTCCTCCTGCCTTCAATCTTTCCCAGCATCAGGGTCTTTTCCAATGAGTCAGTTCTTCGAATCAAGTAGCCAAAGTATTGGAGCTTCAGCTT